GTTCTCATTCCAGCTTATCCACCAATTTACTTTGCATCTTTGGGAGTCCCATTCATTCCCACGGGCTGTATTTTCTCATTTGCAAAATAACAATGTTGAGGAGATCATTTTTAAGATCTTTGCCAACCCTGATACTTATGGATAATTTATTGCTTAACTAGTTAGCAACTATTAGTGCAATCATATTATAATTGGGGACCTCAGACAGAGGAACTGAGTATTTGCCATAAGTTAACTAGCAGTAGTGAATTCAGAATTTTACTCCACTCTGCACAAATCCATAGCCATAGCAGGTAGGGACCAGTTTGGACTTGTTTCTCTGCTCCCAGAAACATGCCTTTGGGTGTCTTAAATCACTATGGACTCAAATTAAGAGAATATGCTAGACTAGGGTCATACCTAAGGCTGTTTCCAACCTCTTACTGCTCAGGGCGGAATTAGGCCTTTGTCCACTCCAGGCTAAGTACGAAATAGGTGCCTGGGAGACTACGGGATTGCAAGGGTGAGTTCTGGGGAAAAAAAAATGAAAACCTTTCTCCAGATTTCTGTTATCTTGTTCTGAATCTTTTTTTTTTTTTTTATAGAGGCATGTTTTATTTATTTATTTGTTTGCTTGTTTGTTTGTTTTGTTTATACATGCACTGGGTACAGTCAGAAGCGCGGGAGGGTGAGAGAATTCACCAGAGCCAGAGCGGGGAGCAGAACAGGCAGAAGGACCGAAGTACACTGCTGAGGGGAGCAGCTGGCGGCAGGAGAGGTCTGCGCTATGTGGGACCCTCCTCCGATGGTGGCTGGGGAGCAGCCGGGGAGCAGTGGGGGAGCGAACCAGCGCCGCAGAGGCCGCGGGCAGCATCGCAACCCAGCGCTCAACCGCTGCGCCACCGGGGAGGCCCTTGTTCTGAATTCTTATTGCTTGCTAGATCTTGTGCTAAGTGCTCTCTTTCCATGGCTAGATTCATCAAATCGTCATTGCACTCTTATTAGCAACCCTGTTTCACAGATAAAAAAAACTGTTGAGATATAAAATAGTAAAAAAAAAAAAGCTACCAAATAGATGACTGGATCAAGAAGATGTGGCATATATACACAATGGAATATTATTCAGCAATCAAAAAAGACAAACTCATGTCATCTGCAGTAACATGGATGGAGCTAGAAGGAATTATGCTCAATGAAATAAGCCAGAAGGAAAAAGAAAAAAATATTGGATGGTTTCACTTATAGCAGGAATATAAGGGAACCAAATAAGACATCAATGTAAAAAATAATAACAGCACAAAACACAACAAAGCAAAAACAGACAATTATAAATCAGAGACACACTGCAGGGGAGGAGGAGGGAGAGGGATCAGATGGAAGGAGGGAGGAGCACAAGGGACTGAGGTGATGGTGCACAGGTGCATTGGTGAAGGAAATTCTATAGGAACGACACCTGAGGCGGTGGGGGGAAGCAACTATTGTTTAAAAATGAACAACAATGTAAAAAAATAATAAAATAATAAAATACATAAATAAAAATATCCCCGCCCAACTAAGTAGCAAAGCCAATGAGATCCAAGTATTTTTCACCCCAGAGCTTAGAGCATATACTCTTATTACATTACTTGACCTCTATCATCTCACATAGTTCTAGACATTCCAGGCATTCAAGACATACTGTAATTAATAGTCTCTATGCTTCTGTGACAACATCTGTCCTTCTGAAATTGTTTCTAGGCACATATATTAACAATGGACTTTAGCTGTCACATCCATTCTCAACTCTTCTAAGAAACTAAATTTCCTAAGCTCCCTTGCTCTCTCACTTCTTTTGTCCAATGGAAAACACTTGAAGGAGGTTGATGGGCAAGAAGAAGGAACAAGTCCAAAGCTGTTTCCTCAATAGGAAGGGTATTCCAGCTTCTGACTGACTCCAGCTTCTACTGAACAACTCCTCCATTCATGTCACCTATACCATCAGGCTACTGACCCCATGCTTTTAGCGTTAGTTAAAAATCAATTTCTGGATTCTGGTAACATTACCTTTTCCCATTATTCATCTGTCCCTAGGGGTGGTAGCAGTTTCTGTGGTTGCTAAATGGTGATTTGCCTCACCATGCCCTGTTTGACTTCCTAGGTTTACCAATGTCTTCCTTCATTTGAATGTCCTGTCTTTAAAAGATTTATGGTGATTTCTATTCCTGACTGGATCATGACTGATAAAGACAACTTTTATGATGCCAGGGCTACTCATGATTACATAATTTAGTTTAAGGGCATATGTCACAATCTTTAACTATCTCATTTGTGTATTTTTTTTATTATCAATCTTTTCTCTACTCCAAGTGGATTGCAATGTCTAGGAGGAAATTTGCCTTGTATCTTGGACATCTATCAATGCTTGGGACATAGAAACTCAGTAATAATTTTTTAAGGATTTATTTTTATTTATTTATTCATACAAGAACTGGGGTGTAGGCCAGAGATGGAAGGGTGAGAGGATTCACCAGAGACAGAGTGGGGAGCAGAACAGGTAGATCTACTGAAATACACTGCTGAGGGGAAGTGTGGGCAGAACAGGAGAGATCTGCTGTGTCATATGTGGGGCAGCTCCCAGGCCAGGGATTGAACTCAGGCCATTGAAGTGATAGCGTGATGGTGCTGAGACTAAACTCACCAGGTGGGACTGGAACTCAGTAATTATTGAATTAATGTATTCATAAAAAAAATCCAAGCTTTTATTGAATATTTCCCATGTACCAACCACTGATATAGGAAATATCAAGATTGGTAATTCATTGTCTCTGCTTTTTAAAAAATAACTTATAATCCCATTTAAATAACAGGAAATAAAAAAAAATGTATACATGACCAGTGTATTAATTTGCAAGGGATGTCATAACAAATTGACACAGACATTTTTTTCTCTCACGATTCTGAAGGCTAGAAGTAGAAGATCAAGGTGATTTCTTCTGAGACCTCTCTCCTTGGCTTGCCCATGGCAGTTTTCTCCTTGCTCTTCATGTGGTCTTCCATGTGTATCCAGTTTAGTCCAAATTTCCTTTTCTTATAAGAACTTCAAGCATATTGGATTAAGGCCCACCTTAGTGAATTTATTTTAATTTAATCATCTCTTTAAAGACCCTATGTGAAAATATAGTCTCATTGTGAAGAATTGGAGGTTCAGATTTCAACATACAAATATATGGGAGACACAATACAGCCTGCAACAACCCAGTAAGTAAAAGATCATTTTCAGTTGAGGGGTGAAATGATAGTTCTAAAGCAGTTGATTATAAATCCAAGGCCTGGAGTAATACGTGAAATCTTTCTAGAGGTGATGTTCAGATTTTCAAGAGTTGTTAAAGAGTCGTAACAGTTTGAATAAGTTTGTTGGCAAAGGAGGTACATCCAAGAAGCTCAGTGTGACTAAAGACCCAGAGGTGAGAACATAAGGAGATCACTGTAGAATATCTGATAACTGGACTATTAGACTTAGGAGGAAGTTGAAATGTCACCCAGTTTAAGCTCCCTGTGATTCAGAAATCCCTTGCCATAGAACTATTCAGCTTCTGCATATATACCTCCCTCAAATGTGTACTGATCAAGGCAGCTGATTCAATCTTTGGTGAATTCTCTCTGTGCAAAACACTGGCTTGGATGAAGTGTGGAGAGTTTACTAGGAAGTAGAGGTGATATATGTAGCTTGTTAATGAAGCCTTTATACCAGTCACCTGCAAGTATTTCTTTCTGATGTCATAGTTTAATTCCTTGATGAAGGTGCAACCCCTGTTTTTGCAATCCCATTCTTACCTAACCTGCCCTGTTAGTCAGAAGTCTTAGTTTCTTGTCTTGTTTGGCTGTGCTACCTTGGGCAGATGACTGTCAGTCTCTTGACTTAAGTGTTCATGTTTATAACAGGGGGATAATTAATACTACCTATCATATTTACCGGACACGAGTATTGTAAGGACTATATGGAATAATAGTGGGTGTAAATGTGACCAACAATGTCAATTCTCAGTAGATACAAAGGTGCCAGCCTAGCTAGGTTACATTGCCCAGAGTTTAGGGGCATCATGAAGAGGTGGGTGGTTTAATCATTTGCCTGTTTTCCTGATTTGACTCATTCTCATTTGACTCATGCTCAGCAAAATAAGTAAATGGAAAATTCATCCTTCAACAAGCTACTTTTTAATTTATTTTAATTTATTTTTTACATCATTGTTCATTTTTAAACAATGTTTGCTTTCCCCCCTCTGCCTCAGGTGTAGTCCCCATAGAATTTCTTTCACCAATGCACCCTTGCACCATCACCAGAGTCCTCTGTGTTCCTCCCTCCCTCCCTCTGGTCCCTCTCCCTCCTCCTCCCCTGCAGGATGTCTCTGATTTATAATTGTCTGTTTTTGTTTTGTTGTTTTTTGTATTGCTATTATTTTTTTTTACACTGCTGTCTTATTTGGGTCCCCTATATTTCTGCTATAAGTGAAACCATCCGATATTTTTCTTTTTCCTTCTGACTTATTTCACTGAGCATAATTACAAGCTACTTTTCATATTCCTAAGGGTATGAGGGAGAAGTCTGTGTGAGAGGGAGAGAGAGAAAGATGAGTTAGCAATAATAAGCTTGGAAGCTTATAGCACTGTAGAGGATAAAGTGGAGACTCTTCCCTCTTCTATACTTCCATTTATTTACCTGTAAAATGAAGACACTATCCCAGCCTCCACAGGGTTGTTCTTGGAAGCAAAATTGATAATATAGATGAAAGCCCCGAGATAGTATACATGAGGAAAGAAGACCCCAGGGTAGAATGTAGAAGCAGGGCTGAGGGAAGAGAGGCAAGGGAGTGTTGGCATGGATCCACTGGGGTAGGATCTTGCTATTCCTTAGGAGGTTGACACAGCACCTCTAAGGCAACTTCAGAGAGGACTTTTCACTGACTATACACAATTGGGGAGCCCTACAATAAAATTTATCTCCAGCGCTGTGGAGGCAGTCAGAAGTGGCAGCTGCTTTCTCCCAGGCTGAAGTTATTCGTCCCTATTGTCTCCCTGCCCCCTACCTCCAGTTCTCAAGCTTTGGCAGGGGACAAAGGCAGCCTTTTGGGATCCCCCCTCCTGCGTCTTTCTGGGCCAAGCACTCCTAGAGCTGCCGGCAGTAACGCAGAGCCTGCCAGCTGGGATGGAACAACCTGACTGAAGGCGAGGCCCAGGGCGGAGGGGATTGGGCTGTAGGGCTGTGGAGGAGGGGAGGCGGAGGGGGCGCCGGGACTTTCCTCGCTGCCAGCCCAACCAGCCGAGCCAACTCGCACACCAGCCACCTGGGCCTCTGAAAAGCTGGACTTAGTCTGCACCATGCAGTGGATTAGAGGCGGATCGGGAATGGTGAGTGAACAACCCTGACTTCCCCTCCTTGAGCCTCAGCTCCCTAGCCCCACCCCCAGCTCCTTCACTAGCCGCCATGCAGTGAGCCCCTAGTCTCAGCCCACCGCTACCCTAGCCGCTGTCCTTGAGACATCAGCGAGCTTGCTTCCTGTGGCCATTTTAAGGGCCCTTGCTCACCGGTCTGCAGAAAAAAGCCCCCTCCCATTTTCCTCATTCCTGCCGCCCTCTGAATGCCGTCCTCCAAGATTGGAGAGGGGTGGGAGTAGCGGTCATTTGGAAGGCCAGAGAGGCAAGGGGTTGGCGGAGGGGCTTTCTGAAAACAATGAGACTGGGAGAATGCCGGTAAACCAGCACGGGATTGGGAGGGAGGGGAGAGTTACAAAGCTTGGGATTGTGGAGAGGGTAGTATTGGAGAACTGCTTTGTCCCCCCAAATGGGCTGTATGTATCCCCTAGCCCTGGCCAGACCTGGTGCATAAGGGCTAGAGCGTCAGTCTCAGAAAATCTGCCAGGTGGAACCCTGAAATGTTTCTTGCCTGGGGTGGGGTCACCCTGGCCACACTTAGGTTTTTGTGAAGCTGAAACACCCAGCAGAAACCTCCATCCTGGAAGTGGGTCTGGCCTCCATTCAATTAAGAGAGCTCTCCCCTCCTCCAACTAAGGGGGGTGGGGTGGGAAAGGGGGGGGAGAGAGAGAGAGAGAGATGAGAATATATCATCTTCCAACACTTCATTTTATGCCGTGGTGCTTCTTTCTTTACCTGGAGACCTTGGAATGACTTCCCTTGCAGAGAGGAAGTGGTGGCGCTACATCTTGATGCCTCTCTGACTCAGCCAGGGGTAACTCAATCTAGTCTGGACTCTGGGAATCGAGAGGCCACCATGCATTTGTCATCAGCTGGAAGGCATGGGCAAGGGGGTCTTGGGGGACAATGCAAGCCCACACTTCTGCCCTGCCACCCACAACCTGCAGCTGAAGGAAAGTAGCCTGAAGCTGTTTTGCAAAAATGATATTTAGCTTCTGTTCAGAAGGGAGAAGAGTGTCTGGTAGGATTAGGGTTGTACGGAGCTGTCTTCTTCCCTTTATCAGGTTTTTCTTAAACCTATGTTTCAGTCGTTCTTAAAAGCATATAGTTTGTATTCTTACATGTAAGGCTCCAAGACATTCTTCTTCCCAGACTTCCCTCTTTTTCTGGGGTCACATTAAGGCTATTTCAAATGTTTGTAGAACCAGGAAACTTTAGAGCAGGACAATACCTTCATGTCCTTATTATCCAGGAAGGTTGAGGTACAGAGAGTGGTAGGGACTTGCTCAGGGTCATATAGCTACATGAATACAAAGCTAAGTCTAGCATAAAATCTCCTGACTCTCTGTCATTCTTTCTCCCCACTACTCCAAAGAATCATCTGTTCAAATGGTGCTGAGACAGAAAGGAACAAAGTGTCATGATCTTGGAAAAGCAGTTTCTTCAGTATCAACTAATAACATAAATTTTGCCTGAAAAAAACAAAAATAAAAACAAAAAAACAAAAAACAAAGAACATGCCAGTCATGGTATTTCTGGCAGCTAGCTTTTAGTAAGCCTTCTCACTTTATTCAAATATATGGTAGTATAGCGGTCCAGAGCCATTGACAATATATTAAATTAATGGAGAAATGTGAAGTTTTGCCACTTGTATGTGAGAGAAAAGAGAGCAACAGACACCTTGTGGAAACTATGTAATTAAATATTATGAGGAAATTTCATAATATTTTAGGGGACTGAAGTGGTAAATTAGACTATATGATGAAAGCATTTATTTGGGTGTTTGCAAGAATTCAAGAGAGAACAGTAGTAAACTATTCTAGTATGGAAGGCAGAAAACCACTAGTTTTAGTCAAGCTACTATTTAATAGGAATGCTTTTGGTCTCAGTTTTCTAACCTATTAAATGGGGTTATTAATGATCACCCATATTTCTCCAGGTCTGAGATTCTCAGATTGCTAGAAGTAAATGTTGACTAAAAATAATTAGTGAGGGCCTCCATGGTGGCACAAGGGGTTAAGCACCGCATTATGAAGCAATCTGCAGCCTCTGAAGCATGACTTCGATCCCTGGCTAGTGGGCAACCCACATGGCGCAGCAGATCTTGCCTGTCTCACCCACTGTTCCCCTCAGCAGTGTATTTTGGTCTGTCTGCCTGTTCTGCTCCCCGTTCTGTCTCTGGTGAATCCTCTCAACCCCCTGCACCTCTGACCTGTACCCCAGCTATTTTTTTTTTCCTTTTTTTGATACAATTTTTTTTATTTTATACATCATTTTTCATTTTTGCACATTGTATGCATTTTCATCTTGGTTATAGTCCCCATACAATTCCCATCCCCCCTTCCCTTGTTTTGATCATGCTCAGAGGAATAAGCCAGAAAGAAAAAGAAACGTCCCGGATGGTCTCACTCATAGCAGGATTTTAGAAAACCTAAATAAGGGACCAGGAAAAAAACTAATTATAATAAAGTAAAAATCAAAATCAACAAGCAACTATAAACCAGGGACACACTACGGGGGCCAGGAGGGAGTAGGATATACCCCAGCTCTTGTATAAATAATAAATAAATCTTTATTTTTTCAAAGATTTTTTTTTTTATTTATACAAGAGCCAGGGTAGGCCAGATGCGCGGGAGGGTGAGAGGATTCACCAGAGACAGAGCGGGGAACAGAACAGTCAGACTGACGAAATACACTGCTGAGGGGAGTAATGTGTGAGACAGGAGAGGTCTGCAGGCCATGTGGGTTGCTTCAAGTCTGGCGGGGATGGAACAGGCACTTCGGAGGCTGTGGACAGCTTCACAGTGCTGTGCTCAACCACCTGTGCCACCAGGGAGGCCCCAATAAATAAATCTTTTAAAAAAAGAGTTCTTTAAAAAAAGGATTGGTTTTATGTAGATTATCAATGAACCAATTCCTTGTTTTCTGGAAATTTGGAGAAGATTAAGTGTATAATTAGTACTTTGGAGATGTGATATACTTAACATGTATGGTATCTGGAATGGACAGCGTTTAGTATTCTGTATGAAAAAGTATTTTCAGTAATAATGAGTACTCATAATTGTTTTGTTGATTTGTTATTTTAAATTTTCAAATGATTTACAATGAAAGAGGGAAAAAAAAGTCCTCAACTTTAAAGATATTCAAACTTAGTAAATCTTATATATAATCTAAAATGTGCAATCACTGAACAAAAATGGTAGACCCTACAGTTTGTATTGATTGTGCTGTTTTAGATCTTAAGCACCAATAAAAACTATAATTGGTAACAGAATGACAAAATTGAAGTAACTCACATTTTCTTTTCTTTTACTTTACAATCACTGTGTTCCCATTGTTTGCTTTGAACTTACTATTTAAAAGCTAGAACACAGAGCACCAGAGGGATTGCAGACCCAAATATTCCCAAAGCTACCTTGAATGATTCTGTGAAGAATTGTGAAATGAACTGAAAGAACACATGTGAAATCTGTGGGTGTGTACTTAGGGCAAATGTGTAGCTGGAAGTTCTCTGAATCAATTCCCATGTAGAATGCAATATTATTAAATGATAAACAATAAAATATGTTCTTGTCAAATTTTATATTATTAAAACTCAGTATCAATAACAATTGTTTAGAGCTTTGACCAATAAGAGATTGTTTTTATTGAGGTAACACTGGTTTATAATGCTGTATATGATTTAGGGGAATAGGTTCACACTTTCTTAGAAGAATGTCACCACCTCATACCTACCACTAAAGCACTCATATCCCTTTATCATAGACAATTGTGTTCCCTTCCTACTTTTTTCCCACCTCACTCTCCCTTCCCATCTAGTAGCCTCAATTCTGTCGTTACATTCCTAGGGTTTGTTTTGGTTTAGTTTAGCCAGTTCCTATATTCTATATTCTATATATGAGTGAAATAATCCAGTATTCTCCTTCTGACTTATTTAACTTAGCTTAATCCCCCCCAGCTCCATCCATGAAGTCACAAATGGTAAGAGTTCATCTTTTTTTATAGTTGAATAGTAGTCCATTATGTGTGTTTTGGTGATCCACTTATCTCTCCTTTGGCACTTAGGTTGTTTCCATAATTTGGCTATTGTAAATAGTGTACCAGCAAACATAGGAGTGTATATATTCCTTAAAAGTAGTGATTTTGCATTTTTCAGGTGGAATCCTAGAGTTGAATTGCTGGGTCATATGGTAGATTTATTTTTAATATTTTGAGGATCTTCCATCTTGTTTTCCATAGGGATTGCACCATTCTACATTCCTATCAACAGTTTATTTGGGTTTCTTTTTCTGCACACCTTCAGCAGAATTTGTTGTTGGTGCTTTTTTATATATGGACCATTCTCACAGGTGTGAGGTGGTATCTCCTTGTGGTTTTGATTCATATTTCCCTGATGATAAGTGATGTCAAACAGTTTTCATATGTCTGTTGGCCATCAAACAAAATATTCTTGCAGGGAGGAGTATTGCTTAAAATTGCTTGTGCTTAGTGATAATAATAATAATAATAATAATAATAATAATAAAAACTTTGGCTTTTTTCTCTTTTTTAAAAAAATCCTCTGTAGGTAGCATACTCATTTACTGCTTGCACTCAGGATTGTCTGCTCCTATTGTTCTATATTGTTATGCCACTGCTTTAGAGAAAAATATGGAATCATGAACAAAATTTCATACCAAATTTCATGTGACTTTTTCAAAAATATCTCTGAATAGGCTGGATGGAATGGTCAACTGGTAAGTTTATTAGTTAATTTGATTCTGCTATGAATAACAGAGATATAGCCATACTGGCTTATAACACACAAAGTTTCATTCTTTCATGTAAAACAAGTCTGGAGATAGATATACCTGGTCCAGCACGAAAGCTTCAGTAAGTCCTTGGGAAAATTTCTGCCCCACTATCCCTAGCATTTGGCCTCCATTCTTGAGACAACCACTGTAATCAGTTCTTAGTGTTTTTACAGTGGTATTTTA